CATTTGCTCCTGGGCTCAGTCCCTTCCGTTTGCCTTGTCAGGCCTCCAGTCCAGTGCAACTGTTCCCCAATGAAAGGTCTCCTCTTCCTTCCGGACACTGCCCCCCCACAACATACATACCCCACGGAATCACAGAAATGACACACTTAGCTCAAAAGAAAATCCTCTAATAACTCTGGTCAATCGCCCACCTAACTTTTGAGGATTTCATTAGCAGACTAGAAAGAATGATTCAGCTGTAGACAAGTATTTAGAAAGTTTAAAATTATCAAGTATGTATAAAAAGTTCCTGTAGAAATCTGGTTTTCATAGGTGGTGGTTCCCTGCCACACCTCCACTGCTTCTAATAAATGTGCCCATTACTATCCTTTGATGCATATCTCAATTATCATTTACAGTCTCCCCAGGACTGTAAGAATTATAGCTACCTTCACAAAGTACCAACAGTTGTTTACTGAAAGCAATAGTGAAGCGCTAATTTGGTAAGTAATTCATTTTCAATCTTCAAATGTCCTTTTAACAATATCTTTAATGAGTAAAGAATTTCTTCCTAAAGGAAATATATTATACTTTATATCACTTTGGATAAACATCTTTGTACAAATACTACTAATCTTCCCTCATCCTTTTTTACTAAATAATAACCTCAGATCAACAAAATAAAACATGAAAGTCTTAAGCCATCTCTTGTCATCTTATAACAATAATTACAAAGAAACTTGATTATTATTCTTGAAAAGCACAATTTAACAAATGTCCTCCTACTGCATTTCACAAAATCACCTTTGAAATTTAACTAGTCATTAAAGACTTTAGTACAATGTGATTTAAATCTGATATAGACTTAATGAAATAGAAAATCAGACTATGACATATATTTTGATTTATAAGTTTCACTGGTTTTTAATATTAAACTAAGTCCTGTGAAGGCATAACAGCCAGTTTTTAACAATAAAACTGGAATTTTGAACCCACATCATCAACTATCAAGTAATTTGCTTCTTTGTTGTTTCTTTGTTACTGCTAATACTTTAAAAAGTTAAAGAAAAGTTTAATTCGCTATGACATTCTAATCTTATATGATTAGAATCATATGAGATAATAAATAGCCTTTTCTTAAATGGGAAATTAAGGAAATCAAAAGGAAACCTGCAGTTTGATATCAAATATTTTACATTAACATTAGCATGTTGCAACTACGTGTAGAATCTACATACGGTAATTAAACTCAAGCATTAATTTCTAATTCAACTAATTCCTCAACTGGGAGGCTATTCTCTACAATTCTAAACTAATAAAGAATTTTCTGTTTCTAAAAGATTAGAAATTGATGCAGCAAATGCCTTTTTTGCGGAGAGGGCTTGGGGCTGGGTGGGTTTTTCCCCCCTTTTTTGATATTTAATTCAGCTATACACAATGTAGCACATACAAGCAAAATACAATTGAGATACTGTTTTCTTTAGCATTCCTATAGGAGACCAAATTCATTTGCATTGGAGAGAACACAATTACTGATTTTTAACTCATGAAAGACAAATTCATAGCTTTTTCCTACACTGCCCCATAGTATTCACACCATCTCACAGTAGAAGCATGTCTAGCACCACTTAGTTCCTTCCTAGAGATGTGGTGGAAGCGGCATTTTCCAAAGCATGGTTCTCACGGAATCATTCAACTTCAGTTACAATAGCACATGCAAGTTAACATATATCTTAGCACAAAATAGTATGTGCAATCTATGTACTGCGTGTGTTGAGTAAATTTTCATTAACATCAAACAGGACATTTCTATCAAGGAAATCTCTACAGCTCTTACTGGCATTTTAAAGATTGCCAGCCTTTCCTCTTTAGAAAAGCTGTTTTGGTTTTTTTAAAAGATCATTTTATTGGGGGTTTTAGGAAAGCTTTAATCAATATTTTATCAGGTGAATTATCAGGAAGCATGAGTAGATATAAAAGATCCAAAGATTTTTATTCAGAGTCTGAGACCAACTTGAAAACAAGAAATACTTTGTATACAGAATGAAACACAGGTGGCATAAAGAGAAGAGGGAGTTTTCTACCCCTCAGTGACGGGGATAAAAGAATTGCATCTAGACTTTCTGTTAAAATTTTAGGGAGGGGGCGCGGGGAAAAGGAAAATGAGCTGATTCCAAGAACCCAAGCGGAAAGCAAAGAACGATGAGGGCAACAAATGTACAAGTGTGCTTGACACAATTGATGTATGTATGGATTGTGATAAGAGTTGTAGAAGCCCCAATAAAATGATAAAAAAAAACAATTTTAGAGTAATATTTAACAAAAAAAATCCAATTGGTAAGCAAATGGCATGTCACTAATTCCATAACTCAAAATAAATATTCTTCCCACCCCCAAGTATCATTAGCTTAATGAAATCTATTTGGGAAATGTAGATATTAAAACTGACCCTTGAGAGTAGACAAAAATCAGAACAGTGTAAAGAAAATTAACACTCAGTTGTTGAATAGTATTTTTCTTAAAGTAAGCCAGAATTGAAGATGAATTGTTTTCATCACATTTTCATTTCAACTCACGCAAAAACCACATATAGAACTACTTAGCACAGACAAATTTATTTCTAGCTTGCTAATTTTCCCAGCAATGCAACAAAAGAGTACTAAACTCGTCACCATATAACATAAAAAGCTTTGGTTTCGAATGTCAGAGCACCCTGCTTTTTAAAAGCCACCAGCATGGTAGTGCCCCTGTTCATGAGAACAGGCAGCTGCCTCATCTCAGGAGTCTGAGCTGAGCCACAATCCCAGTCATTAGCCAGCTCTCCCTATACTGCAGTACAAGTAGCTAATGTCTTCATTTCAAACTAATAACAGAAAGGGGGGCGGGGGTCCGTTTAAAGCCATCCAATCAGAAAGTATGCAACCCGTCAACAAGAGCAGCTTATGCATCCACTTGGTATGCTAGAAGCCCGAGTGTGGTGAATCATACACAGCACATTCGCATCCACCTCCTGGGTATTTCGTATCGCCCACATGTCCACAGAAAGCTCACAGTACTAACAGGGCTAGATAAGTCCTAGGTGCTCTTTATCTCATCTACACTAACATTCGGTGGCACACTTTAATCCTGAACGTCAATACACACACACCAAAATCATTTAAATGATACTCCAGCCAACAGCAAATCACTTTTGCATTGGGGGCTGGGGTGAGGGGGTGGTTGATAAGGGAGGAAAGAAAGCTAAGAGAAAAAGTTAACATATTTATGAAACATTTTAAACATTAATAACATTAGGTTAACTATTATTTAAGTGCCACATTAAATAACCATTGATTTTTTAAAACTATAACCGTAAGAAAAAAAGGACTCATAACACCTATACAACCAATAAAAACCAAAAACTCACTGCCATGGAGTCAATGCTGACTCACAGCAACACCCCAACCACCCACCCCCCACCCACCCCCCACCCACCCCCCGTGAGGTTCTGAGACTGTAACTGTTCACAGGAGTAGAAAGCCCAGTTTTTCTCCCTCGGAGCTGCTGGTGGTTTTGAACTGCCAACCATGCACCTTGAAGGCTACATATAACCATTAGACCACCAGCGTTCCTACATAACCAACAGAATCAGACACCTGTAAATACAAAGTCCATCAAATATTTTGAGTGGTTCGTTCACATTTTAGTCAATATAGTCATGAAAATTTCAAATGTAAGAACAGTAATTTACACTTACAACAAATTCTTAATGTCTTAGAAAGATTCAACTTGTATTTCTCAAGTCCCCCGACAAAGCTAAAAGAAAGTATACAAATTTAGAAGCCTTCATTGGGGGAAATAATTAGTTATACATCATATATTTTCCAAAAAGGAAGAACTAACTTACTGTTAAACATGAAACTGCATATCATAACTCTTATCTCTTAAAAGAGGGGAGGGAGAGTTGAGCAGCTTTCTGATATGCCGAACATCCATTTTCAAAGAAAAGATATTTTGTTGCTGAAATTAAAACATACCTAGAGATGTGCTCAATTTTTCAAAAAGTCCCTCAACAATACATCTAAGCACATATTTTTAAAATCAAAACCAGTTTATATTTAAAAGTCAATGCTAGAGGGAAGACCAGTTAAATGATGACCCTACTGACTATCACAAAATTTAAAGATGTTACGTCAAGGACTTCATGTGTGTGAATGGGACTTAAACTAAGTTACCACACACAGCAGGAGGGGAGAAATGGACAATGAGTAAGAAAAGGGCACACATTTAACGTGGCGATTATTGTAATGAACTTTAAACAAAGATGTTGTTCTTCCCTTGTAGGCAAATCACTGTGGAGAAACCCAACCTCCACAAAACTTTTTACTCCTTCATTAACAACAACAAAGCACTGGAAGTACCTTAAAGATTTCACAGGGACGCTTGCTGATCTTCAAACATTTAATAGCAACAACAAAACGCTCACACGCGGTAAGTATTGAGGAGCTTCAGTGAAGTCTGTCTGGCTTTCAATTGCCATGCAATCCAAACCAGAGGCTTCTTTACAATACCACGCAAGACACTGGCGCTGAGTGATTTTAATCATTCAACATTATGCCATCTAAAACAGAAAACTAATTAATTGAGAAATCTAGCGAGGCAGTTTAGCTGACACAGTAAATATTGACTCAGACCTCTCAGGGGAAGTCTTGACTAACAGTTGTTACCACTGGGCAGGAGGTAGGAGTAGGGGTGGGGGGTGCGAGACAACTGCTGAGAGCCGCGTTTAAAGGGTCCCAGAGAACGCTGCCTGGCTCATGCTCCCACACACCCACTTAAAAGAAGGCACCGCATCGATCCCAAGCACAGCACACACCTTCTAGAATGAAAGTAAAAACGGAACGATCGAAACTATAGATGTCCGCAACCACCACAAACAAAAGCCGTCCTAAAACCTCCCAGCACATTGCTCAAAGCAATGTTTCAAAACTTTTACTTATACGTCAGCCCAAGTCACAAAATTCTAAGCAAAATATATTTACCTGAGCTTTTTAGAGACTGAGTAATCAACTTCCATGATTTTCCCATGCAATTCCACTTTACCTTTAAAACAGAAATTAACACACTCAGAACCGCGCTTAGATCACGCAGACGGGGTCTGGGAGGGGCACGCACCTTCGGGCGGCCTCCAGGGGACTCCCACCCGGCGCGGGAAAGGTGGGCGCCCCAGGGGTCGGGCGAGGGAGGGCAGGGAGCGAGCCCGGGTCCGACCCCAGGTAGAGCTGTGGGTGGCATTACCGGAAAATCAAATTTAATAAAGCGCGGGGCCAACTTGAAAGGATGAGCTCATTTGAAACTCAAGCTGCAGGGCCGGCGGGGCCCCGCTCGGCCCCCGGGACGCCCCCCTCGCCATCGCTCACCCGGGACCCGAAGGCTCCCTTCCAGACCCCCTTTCGGCTAAACCCCGGGAAGATGCGCCCAAGCCCCCCGGGGCCCAGCCCGGTCCCCGGCCGCGCGGGG